AAAAGTGAGGGCAGTGGACCGCACTCCCTACCTAGGGGACGTTGCTGTGGTTGTCCACCCTGGGAAAAAAGAGATGGGAACACCACTAGCGGACACTCCCACACGGCCAGTCACCAGGCACGGGGGCATGCGGGACCTTCATGAATCCAGCTTCAGCCTTTCCGGTAAGGACGAGGATGTACCAGGTGCTGGCAGGCAGGAGAGAGGCCTGGGCAGTAAGCTGCAGCCTGTAGGTCCTTTATAGAGCCATGAGGACAGGGCCGTCCCCAGGTGCCCAGCTTTGTGCTCTTAGAAGAGCAGTTTATGCCAGGAACCGTGGTTCCCACTGGAGGTGCTGGTGTCCTGTGGGGAGGTGACCTCCAAAAACACACTCTCAAAGGGCTAGTCACTGCCGCAACCAGTGGGGCATGAATGCCAGGTGCTGTTTCTTGTGCGCTGTCCGAACACACTGAAGCTGTGTCAGCCCGGGATGTGTGGCTTCTCAGGGTCTCCTGAGCACACCACAGCCTACAACTGACCCCACATGAAGTGGTAAGGCCCTGGGCCTCTGGGGCCTGACTAGTCAGTTGCCACTTCTGCCCCAGCCCAAGAGCCATGACTGGACAGTGGCTCCTTCAGACAAGGTAGACATCAAGTTGCCTGTCATCTCTCTTCCATCCCCAAGTCTTAATCTGTTGGAGATGGGGATCACTGAATAATGCCCCACTGTGATCTCTGGGGCCCTAGCCCCCTCTTTCTGAATCTTAGAATTCCAGAGGCAGGGCCTTTGGAGTATGGGTCATTCATTTTCCAAAATAGTTACCAGTTTCCTGTTTCAGGGTCTGGTCTGCTCATTGAGTGTAACTGGAGGTTTCTCTCCTGTCGGCCAGTTCCTGAACAACCACTCGGAGGCTTCATATTAATTACAAACTGTTGGACCTATTAGCGCAAGCTTATTATTAACTAGATCTTATGACTTAAATGAACCCATTTCTATTATTCTGTATTTTACTACGAGGATCGTGACTTCTTAACCTCACATCTTGCTTCTCCAGCGGCTGCTGGCATCTCCCTGACTCTGCCCTTCTTCTCCCTGTATCTGTTTGGATTTCCCCGCCTGGCTCTGTTCGGCCTGGCTATTGGCCAAATCAGCGTCTTTATTAACCAACGGAAATATAACCTATTCACAGCATATAGAGGGGAATATCAACGTTGATTCACATCAACGGAGACCTGTGTGTGAAGGTCTGTGTGGCCGCTGGCTGATCCCTTGGTCTAATAGCACAAGTACTGCTGTCCATGTGAGTGAGCGGAGAAGCGTCTAAAGTAGCTCCGAGTCAGGAAAACCTGGGTTCACACCCCTACTGCTGTGAAGTGTGATACCCCTGAGCCCTAGGTTTCTCATCCAGAAAATGGAATAGAGTCATGAGGGTTAAATGACTGAATACCTGGGACTGGGAGAGTGGCTCCATCAGTAAAGCATTTGCCTTGCAAGCGCGAGGACCTGAGTTCAATTCCAAGAAACCATTTTGAAAAAGGCAGGCCCGGCGCTGGAGAGATAGCTCAGTGGTTAGGAGCGTGTACTGCTCATCCAGAGGACCTGTGTTGAGTTCCCAGTTTCCCAGCAAAATCCCAGAATTTACCTGCAAATTCCAGCTCCAGGGAAATCCAGCACCTCCTCGGCACACGCACATACCAATACACAGCACCAGACCTGTCCTAAAAGAGGTGGACAGCATTTCCTTGAGGGGCGGGAGAGGTCTGAGCCTCAGTGATCACAGGGAGCCTGCTAACCCAGGCAGCTTCTGCGTGGTTGACTTTTCCTGCTTCTTTCCCCGCAGGTTCTCAGATCGATGATCACGTTCCAAAGCGGGCCTCAGCTCGGATCCTTGCGCCCCCTGGAGGCAGGTCGAGTGGTATTTGGTAAAGGCTCTGACCAGCCCCCGCAAGTGAGGATGCTCCACCGCCACCCGCCTGCACACCTTCTGGCCACAGCTGCAGGGGGTGGGAGAGGCTGGGCAGGGCAGCACTGTACAGGTGGGGGCTCCAGGAAGCAGAGAGCCCTCCCCTTGTCTAAACATGATTCATGGGGCTTTGACCCACCCCTAACAAGGCACTTTGAGCTGTCCCTCCTGCTCTGCTCCCTCCTTCCTTCCTCGGCCCTGGGGTTTCTCTGGGCCCCAGCGACCACACTATGCACAGCACCCAATGCATAGCGCCTGGCCCCGCCCCTCCTCTCACAACAACCTCCAGTGCAGGCTCTGGGAAGGCCCGGACTTGAGTGCCCTGCCCTGCTGCCCACCCAGACAGGCGTCCAGAGCACTTTAGCAGATGTGTGTTATAAGTAAGGGCCTTCCCCCCTCATCCCTTAGGTACTATGGTGACATATCCCAAGTCAGACAGGTGTTAGCTTCCCAGCCATGCCCGAGATGTCCTATCTTTACTGACTCACTCCTGTGTAGGTACAGTGGGGACACCCTGGATGTGGCTGTGGTTGGGACACCCTGTGCCCTTTGCTGGCCTCTTTCCACTCCCTACCGGCACCCTCTGGGAGCCCCAGGCCCCAGATGGGTAGCTGGGTGGGCATGGGGCTGGTGCCAGGCGCGTGTAAATGGTTTTGTTTTGCACGTTTGGTTTGCGCAGTGGTTTGGTTTGACTTGTTTGTGCACCCTGTGGACAATAACGGTGCTTCGTGTCACTAGCGTAGCATAGAATCGGGAGTAGATTTGGTTCTTAGGAGATGCTGCAGTCACCACCAACCAGACAGTCCAGGGCAGCGGTGGGGACAGGCTGTCCCCCGGCCCTTTTCCCCCAACCCAGGGTCCTGCTACAAGACGCAGCCCTGGACCATGCCTCCCCTGTCCCACATCCCTACCTCTTTCCACCCCTATCCTACTTTTTCTACATTCATGTAGGGTCCTGGATGCTGACCCTGGAAACCTTCAGGCGACAAGGCGGCCCCTCTCTCATCTCTTCTCCTGGTCACTCCCAGCACTAACTCCCATGACCATACCTTCACACCCTTACACAGCTTCCTATAAGTTGCCCCTGCTGGACAAGGCCTAGCTACTCCTGTGTGACTAGCAAGAGGCCTCATACCTGCTGAGAGAGGGGGAGTAGGAGAGGGCTAGCCAGCCAGCCACTAGGGAGGGGCTTCGACCTGCAAGCCCTAGCCAGAGAATCTGCTCCACTGCCCAAGTGCTATGGGGTCCTGCACTCAACACCACACTCTTGTTGGCTGCTGGTTAGGCCCGCCCTGCCTCAGAAGCTCTTTGGGGGTTCTCATAGGTGGCGACCCAATCTGAGAAGTGACCCAGCTGTCTGCCTTTGATAGGCCTCGGTATCCTCCCCTCCCCGCTCCTTGGGAAATGATCTCACTTTTATTTGAGCTCCCCAAACCTACCAGAGGCCTCCGAGGTCTTGGTACTCATCCCTGCACAGTTGGCACGGCTTTGGGTCCATCAAAGCACTTCCACGCGTCAGCTCTCGCTCCTCCTTATGGGGGAATGCTTACCACTCTCCTCCATCTTACAGATTTAAAAAAAAAAAATAACCTGAGGCTCCAAAAGTTAAGGCCGGCTGGCTCCAGAAGTGTCCATGACTGACCTTATGGCCTTGACTGGTCTAACCTAGATGTGGAAAGCGGCTGTGGACCGATATCGGGCCCACCAGGAGCTTAACCAGATAGAATGAATGCTTTCTCCCTGGGGAGAAAAACGCATCTGCCTCGCTTTGCACAAGTCGATCTTTATTGTCTTTATCGTGAGCAGACTACTGTATACTCTTGGTTTGGGCCTGGACTAGAAAAGTGTTGGGAACTTGTGTTTGGCTTTAGTTGCATCCTCATCCTCATTGTCCTCATTTTGGAGCTGAAATGATAACCCGGAGGGCTGAGGAAGCCATGGGAACAGTAGGCAATGGCGCCGGAAGAGCCTCCCAGGGAGCAAAAGCAGTGATACTGATCCCTGGTACAGTCCTAGCCTCTCTCCTCCCTTTTCTCCTCCTCTCCCTTCCTCCACCTCCTGCTCCTCCTCCTCTTCTTTTTGAGACAAAGTCTTGCCTATGTAGCCTGGCCTTGAACTCAGAGCATCCTGCCTCAGTTTCCCAAGCACTGGAATTCCAGGCACAAGCTACCACACCTAGCTATATGTCATCTTTGTCTATTTTTGCCCTTGCTTGGTCATGGGCCTTGGGCAGATGCCAAAGATCCGAGGGATGGTGGGACCAGCGAGGCAGGGCACCTTGCTTGGGCCAGGAAAGCTTTACCTGAGTGCCTCCACCTGAGAAGTGCATGACCTGGCGTGGTGAGAGAGTCCGTGTTCAAGGGGCCGCTGTAGGCCTTCCACTTCATCCACCCCCACCCTTGGGTACCCCCAAATCCACCCTTCCATAGACTGTGTGCACACCCAGGAGCTTCTGGGTGTGAATCAGGAGGCTCAAGGAGCCAAACAAACCATCACCCCCACCCCGTGTCCACTCCCTGCCCCATGCAGAGTTCCAGCCAGCCCCCTCCCAGGCCCAGTGGCTGCTGGCTGGAATGAAAAGGGTCTCTGGTTGCACCGAATGCAGCTCTCAAACTGGTCTTGTACTTGCTGAATAAATACTGTTGTTCTTGCCTTAGCTGCTCTCTAGGTTTGTGGGGTTAACGCACCCAAAAATTGTGCTACTGTGTGTGTGCGTGTGCGTGTGTGTAGTGCTAGGAGCCCACAGTAGGCCTCTTGTCAAGCCAATGCCGTGATAAGGGCATCCCTTATACTGACCCAGAAACCACAGAACCACATGGAAGCCAACCCCTCTCCAGCTGCTGAGGCAGCAGGCACAGCCTGGGGTCAGAATGGAGCTGTCGGTAGCACCCCAGCACCCAAGGGACTTCCTCACTCCTCTGTAATGTCATGGTGCTAAGATCGTGTCAACCCCAAGGTGACACATAGTCCTATGCTTTGGTCACCGTTTGAGGCAAAAACCAAACAGCCCAACACGTTGTGTTCTGGTGCAGGTTTGTATTAAACTGTAGCTACTTCTCACTCGGCCTCTGTTGTGTTTATTCAAGAAGTAGCCTGGCAGAAAGCCACTCTACAGCGGTTGTGTGGTGCTTCCGTTGCTAGGAGAACAGCTTTGCTCCATCACTCTGATCCAGTGGCAGCTCACTGGGAGGTCTGGGCAAGGTCTGGAAATGTAAAAATAAAAAGTTTAAAAATAAACATTTGTTTTTAAGGGTCATCCCTCTCCCTAGAGCCCAGGATTTCTGATGGTGCAAAAGCAAACATTCGACCAAATTTCCTGGGATGGTTGGCACATTATCTGAACTAAGAAAAAAAATTGGGAGATATTAGAAACAAAAAGAAGGGATCTAGACTCACCCACCCAACCAATAACACTTGTTCTCCTGGCTACCGTTTTGGAAGCCTACAGCCCCATTCTGTTCAGCAGAAGCTGACAGACTGTATCCCCATAAAGACATGACAAAGTCATCCCAAGGCCTCAGTGTGTGTTTGAAGAGCCTTTGGCTGCTTACTAGCTTTCTAGACCCCCCCACCTTTGAGTCTGGTCACTGGGCCCTCCAAACCCTTTGGGTGTTGGGAGGACTCCTCTGATTAAACCCACACTAAAATGAGTGACGTACAAGCTATCGTGGAAGTACTTGGACGGTTGAGGCAAGTGGATCATGAGTGTGAGGCCAGTCTGGGTCACACATAAGCAGATCCAGTCTCAAAGAGTGGGTGTACCATTCATTTCAGTACTGTGGGGCATCTTGTGCCAATTTCTTAACCCCCAAAGACGCAACTCTAATGAGGAAATTCTAGATCATGGAGAAAATCTGCATAGCACACTGGGGAACACAGTCGGTTACCTAACTGCCCCCAAACTATAGTCAATATGTGGGGCTGGGGAGAAGACACAGCCTTTGGTCCCACCACTCAGGGGACAAGGGCAGGCACAGCCACAGAGTGAGACCCGGTTCTACAAAAGGGCAGAAAAGGTACTGTCATGTGTCATCGACTATTTGCTTGGCATGAGGCGTGTGCAGATACATACTTGGGACGACTCCGTATGCCTTAATACGTGTACAGTTGGAAAAGGACAACAGGTTTGGACTTGAAAATTGGGATCAGCCAAGAGAATCTACTATTTGGAGCGACTCCGTTCAGTCAGCAGCTGTGCAGCCATCAGCCGAGATTTCTTAACTTGGGGTTATAGGTTGCCTCAGGCAGGCACACGTGACATGAGGAACTGTGGAAGAGGCTCAAGGAAACCCCGGGTATGAAGAACCAACAGTATGATACTGGGGAAGGGTAGACGTAATTGTAGTAAATGATTTTAAAAAATACTTTCATTTTATCTTTTTTTGAGACAGAATTTCACTATGTAGTCCAAGCAGATCTGGAACCATGTAGACCAGACTGGCCTTGAACCCAGGGGGATTAAAGACGCGCGCACACACACCTGGCCAAAAGAAGCTTTCCCACATCACTGCCAACAAACTTAATACATTGTTAAAAGTTTGCTTTAAAAACACCTTGCTCTTCTAGGTGTCTACCTTTAGAGTGTCGTCAGCATCCTGTCTGAGCATTGTTTCCTGGCTACTCACACGGATGCATTGGACATTTTCCTTGAAATGCAGATGTTCTTTTTTTATTATTATTAGAAGAAAGAGATTCTTTTGAGACGGGAATATCTGTGCATCTTTCTCATTGGACAGAATGACAACTGGTTATAGGAATTAAAGCCTTCCAAGTCCCTCTGAGAAGACACTCTCTGAAATCCAAGGTCACCGAACTGAAGACTGTCACAGGCCACTCTGCTTTGGTGACACCCTCTCGCCAGTGCCTCTCGTGTGGCTGGAATTCGTCCTTGTGAACTGGCCTGAGTCTGGCGGATGGAGGACCCTGGAGTTCCTCTCTTGGTCGGCCCCCAGCAGCAGCACCATACCACATTCCAAGGCACCTGAGGGGTTAACTTCACTAACAGACTTCTCAGGAAAGGCTTTGACCCTCCATTCCTGAGGGAACCAAAGCTACTGGAAACAACTCCCAAGAGGATCAGGTGTGTTTTGAGTCTCAAGGACAAGATCCTTCAGTGGCAATGCCTTATGGACCTGCTTCGGTGGCAGTAGGTCATCTGAAGGAATTCCTGGTGGCCAGAAGAGGATCTTCCAGCCCATCGTGGGTATAGTAGGATGAGTTGCTATGTGGGGGCTGCTGATGTTTATTCGGTGTTCAGCAGGTCTCCGTGAGCAAACCATCCACCATGTGGCCTAGTAGTGTCTTCCCTCGGAAGGCTTTGGAATTCCTCCTTGATGGCTGCACTGTGGCCGTGAAACTCCCAGGAACGGTACCACAGGCAATGAGAGAATGCTGCCACCTTTCGTTTGTAATCCTGTTCTTCACATACAGCACGTTCATCTGGCGTCATGGTCATGAGAACTAGTATCCCAATTCCAGTCATTAGGCAATACTTTGGGGATCATACTTGTTTACCTGGTGTGAGCAAAGTGGGGCTCCCCTCTGAACCCTTGGACTGAAGTTCTCATCAAGCCCAGGGGTTCTCAGCCAGGGGCAGTTTTGTCCTCCAGGAGATACGAGTAGGGGATATTTGGACATTCTTTTGGCTATGAACTTAGGGGACTGGGGCTACTGGAATCTTGGGGATACCACTCCAAGACACTGCTGAGCATCCTTCTCGGGAGGTACTCAGGGCAGCCATCACAATAAGGAACGGTCCGACCCGAAATATCAAGAGCACCAAGCTAGAGAAAACTCTGTTCTGGCTTAATGATAATATGAGATCATTGCTTTAGAAAACTGCTTGAGGAAATTTAAGAAAAAGGAGGAGCAGCCAGATGGTGGTGGCACAGGCCTTTAATCCCAGCACTCGAGGCAGAGGCAGGTGGATCTCTGTGAGTTCAAGGCCAGCCTGGTCTACAAGAACTAGTTCCAGGACAGGCTCCAAAGCTACAGAGAAACCCTGTCTTGAAAAAGCAAAAACAAAAAAGAAAAAAAAAAAGGAGGGAGACAGAGCTGAATTTATGGTACAACTGTATGGCAAGACATTCTGTACAAAAATCATCATGGACAGCACTGGACCACAGCATCCCAGTAGCAGTCAGAGGCAGAACCCCAAGGAGTCTTAGCATGTTCTTTCCCATGACTTCACCTGTTAATCCTCTGCCACCAAGATCAGGAGCCATGTTGTACGAGGTTCTGCTTGACCACTGTGCGGTGCTACAGGAAACAGAAGGCTCTGCATCCAGATCTGAGTGGGGTTCCAAATGCAGAAGTGACATGGCCATCTCAGTTCCCTAACCATGGCATTTATAGACTTTGTTTTGTTTTGTTTTGTTTTTGGGTTTTTTGTCATATTCTGAAAATGGATCCTCAGATTCTGTATAATCCCCATCAGAATTCCAACTACAAAAAAAGATGTCTGGTTTTAAAATTCATTTGAAACCGCGAAGGATTTGGAAAGAGTAAACTAAGGAAAATCCTAAAGGAACTGGTGAAATTGTCATTAACCCACTCGTGAAGATGGAGCCCCCAGTGACCTAATTGCCTTTCAAAGGCCTTTATTCCTCCACATGAGCCTTGCCACACTGAGGACTGAGCTTCCAACACAACAGCCTTTGGGAGATACACTCAGACCACAGCAAGCACACACCCAACATGGAAGAAGTGGAGCTATCCTAAAGACACACATCCCCTCGACTGCCAGACTACTGAGACAATGAGCTCTAAAGGAATTGACATGTCCCCCCAGGAGTCCCATTCTAGGGAACAAAAATTCTGAGACCTTGATGTCAGTCAGAGGGGAGCTCGTCTCCTGGAACAAGACTGCACAGTATGCTGATGGTACACAACAGACTGAGAGCCAGCAGAAGTCAGGGATGGGTTAGTGATGGGCGGGACCACATCTTGACTAGAAATACCCAGTTATGTGCACTGTGTACCCTCTATTTAAACCTCATGTCAGAACTCCAGATGTGGATTTAGAGCACCACTGGGCCTCCTTATTTGTTCTTCTCAGTATGAATGCACTGAATAGATCTTTTTCTGCTTGTTACTATTATCCAGCTGTCAGTGCCTGTTGAGGATGGTGGCTCGGCCTTGCTTGTTAGAGCTGCCCAGGCTCTGACCCTAGAATCTTCAGTAGCAGTATCAAGATACTCAGTAGAGAAAAACAGTATTCTCGACAAATTGTGCTTAGACACATGCAAAAGAATTGAAATTGGGATTTTGCCTCACAATATGCAAAATTCAACCAAAATGGATAAAATATTTAAATCTAAGAGCTAAAGCTATAAAAATTTTAGGAAAAAGCATAGAGGTAAATCTTTATGGCTTTGATTTAGTTTCAGATCTGTACATGTGATCGGGAAAGAACACATTTAATTTCAGTGGACTCTGAAAATTTATATGTCAAGTGAGGCTCTCCTTCCCCACACACACACACACACATGCAGAGAGAGAGAGAGAGAGAGAGAGAGAGAGAGAATCTTTTGTGCCTTGGAAGACGTAGAGAACAACTGGAGAAGCAAAGGATTCTGGGAGAGGAAAGCCCTTGGTATTAATCTCCTTTGGCATGTCTTCAGCCTTGTTTAGAGCAGCAGCTGACAGAAAGATGTATCTTCCCTTGTCCCATCCACTTCTGCTTCTAGTCAGGCCTCCTGGTCTACCAGGGCCTTTCCAGGTTGAGTGGGCGACTCAAGCCATAGTTCTACCCAGAAAGACCTCCAGATGGCGCTTTAAACTCACCAGTGACTACTTCGGCTTAAGCAACAAGCCACTAGGAAAGGCTCAAGGAAAAACAGCCAGTTTCTTTGCTTGGTCCTGGACACCCCCAGAGGAGCTTAAGGTGGTGCAGTCAACACATGAATGAGGTGCCATAGCAGTTTTTCCCAGGTCTGGACAACTCTTAAGAGTTGTCTCACTCAACAGTACTGGCATGCTAAACTAAAGACAAAAAGAAGAAAATAAAAAAGAAAAATCAGACATTCACATTTAATTAAGATGTCATATATTCATCTAGCTTACTGAATTTTCCACCCTGTTTAATCGGTACCTACGGTCATCCACTGACCCTCATTAGGTGTGCAGAAGTGAGCCAAGGACAGCTCCTCCATTAGAAGTGAGTTGGGGATAAGATGTATTGACAAATAGTTGTAGTAGGGCAAGCATGGGATGGAGGGAAGAGTGGATATTTGGATATTGGCTCTAAGTTCACAACCTCTTCTGCTGTTCACTAACTGTGTGATCATAGGGATGTTATTAACTTCTCTGTGTAGTAAGGAGGCTGCTTGTTGGTTTTGGCTGCTTAGCCCCGAAATAATTACACAGAAACTGTACTATTTAAATCACTGTTTGGCCCATTAGCTCTAGCTTCTTACTGACTCTTATATCTTAATTTAACCCATTTCCATTAATCTGTGCGTCACCACGAGGTCATGGCCTACCAGTAAAGTTTTAGCACGTCTGACTCTGGCAGTGGCTCCATGGCTTCTCTCTAACTCCACCTTTCTTTCTCCCAGCATTCTGATTAGTTTTTCCCACGTAGCTCTGTTCCCCTATACCTCTGCGATAGGCCCAAAGCAGTTCCTTTATTAACCGGTGATAATCACAGCATATAGAGGGGAATCCCACATCACCTCTAGGCCCTGGGTGTGAAAATGGGAGTGTCACCACTGTTGAGAGGTGTCCAAGGAACACTGTCCATGGCAGAACCAGAGGAGATAACGCTAAACCTGGTGTTAAGCAGTGGGTAGATGTTCACCTGAGGAGAGGCTGCCCCACAGCCTAAGTCTCAGCCGTGAAGCACCTGTTTGCACGAGTGATTCCACGTAGTTGTTTTCATATGTGTTGAGCAGCGCTGACATGGGAAGGACATGGGAAGGGTGGAGAGGAAGTAAAATGGTTTCTAGGGATCAAGTTGTGTGTCTATGTATGAAGGAGCCTGAACTTTTTATCTTTAAGCAAGTGCCTCCCAAACTTCATCATTAAAGTGCCCCTAAAGACGGGGCAATATCGTATAAAGAACATCTTAGCAGAGACCCCAGATTTCCTTAAAAGTCTTGTCTTCAAAAATCATATAGCTTTGCACCCTACTCCATATATCATTTCAATGTAAAAGATTATTAGCCAGCAGGTGGTGGCGCACGCCTTTGATCCCAGCACTCGGGAGGCAGAGGCAGGTGGATCTCTCTGAGTTTGAGGTCATTCTGGTCTACAGAGAGAGTTCCAGAACAGCCAGAGCTGCACAGAGAATCCCTATCTCAAAAACAAACAAAAAGATATTGTTGTTCTTACTTTCTAGACAAAACAAAAACCCAGAGAAAGAGCTACTCTACAGCTCTTCTACCCTAGGTAATTATATGAATTCCCCATAAGTCAGTTTGTGAGGGAAAGCCATGGGGATTTAAACCTAGGGTTACGTGAAAGGCTGTAGCTTGCAGAAAGAGCCCTAAGATGATGGTGTTGAGGGCGGATAAGAAATGGAGATACTAACATGGAGGATAGGTGTGAGATAATGCCACCTCCTAGGTCGGAGATGGTCCTGGTGAGGGAGATAAGGGAGGTAACAAACAGATATGAGTGACATTTCAGAACTGATTATATTAGAAAATCCTCCTGGGGGTTAGGATCATGCCCAGGTTTTTGGACCCCAAGGACTATAGGATGGGTATCGGTGGGTGGGAGAGAAATTATATTTCACTTAAGCATACTGAGCTTTTTATGTCAGGGCTGCCTAGAAAGTCTAAGACGTGGGAGAACCAAAAGGACAGAGTCTCCCAGGTTCAGAAGTCACAGGAAATGATGAGGTCATTTAGGGAATGTGTATGGAGAGAAGGAAGCATACAAAACTCTAGAACAAGGGGACTTACTGTCGGAGAGGGCAGAGTTTCAGTTTTACAAGATGCAAGGTGTTCTCCTGATGAATGGGGGTGATGGGAACCAGGAGGACCACCCAGTGTTCAGGTGATACCATGGGACAAAGTAGAATGGAAAAAGAAATGTCAAAATGTCATGAGAGAGCACCAAACAAGTGAGCAATGAAAGAAAACACGAACACATTGCATTCCATGATCATTTTTTAAAAAACTGGTGCATTAAGAAAAACAGTATCAACAGAGTGAAAAGGAAACCATAGAATGAGAGAAATTATTTGTAATTTATATATCTGTTAAGAGGTCAATTCCCAGAAAACACTCTGAATACTGAACACCAGGGGAAAAATAATCACAATTCAAAAATGGGAAAGAGAGACAACGCAGTGGTGGCACACGCCTTTAGTCCCAGCACGGGACACAGAGGCAGGATGATCTCAGTGAGTTCAGCTAGCCTGGTCTACAGAGTAAGTTTCAGAACAGTCAGGACTGTTGCAGAGAAACCTTGTCTCAAAAAACAAACAACAACAAAAAAAAAATGGGAAAAAGAATTCTAAAAGACATCTCTCCGCCCCACCCCCCATGTACAGGTAGCCAATAGCATACGAAATAGTCTCAAAGTTAAAGGCAAAATCAAATTATAATGAGATTCCAGCTCATAGACATTATGACAACTATCAAAAAAACAGAAAATGGCAAATATTTCCTCTAAAAACATAAAAACAGAACTACCCTATGTTTCAACAATTCCACTTCTGAGGATATACCCCAAGTAATTTAAAACAAGGTCTCAAAGAGATATTTGTGTGTCCACGTTTACAGCAGCATATAACACACTCGCCAAAAGGTGGGTACAAGCAAACTGTTCACTGATGGGCGAACGGATCAGTAAAATGTTATATGAACGACACACAGTGTCATTATCATTCAGCCTTTGTAACGAGGACAGTCCATGTAGCACTCGCCTGTAGGCCAACATTCAGGAGGCAGGAGGAGCAAGAGTTCAAGGCCAGCTTCAACTGCCTAGGGAGTTTAATCAGGCTACTTAAAACCTTATTTCAAAATAAGTAAAGCCGGGCAGGAGTGGCACACGCATTTAATCCCAGCACTTGGGAGGCAGAGGAAGGTAGAACTCTGTGAGTTCGAGGCCAGCCTGGTCTGCAAAGTGAGTTCTAGGACAGCCAGGGCTGTTACACAGAGAAACCCTGTCTCGAAAAATCAAAATAAATACATAGACAGAAGGCTGTATCTGTCATATATTGAGCATCAAGATAAACTATCTAGGCTGAGGAGATCTCCATCAGAAAAGTGCTTGCCCAATAAGACAAGGACCTGAATTCCATAACCAGAACCCCCATTAAAACAAAATAACAATACCAAGACCAAATGTTGTGGTTCACATGTAACAACCCCAGTGATGAAGAGGCAGACAAGTAGTCACTGGCCGCCTAGCCTGTGTGTCAAGTTTTAGGTCAGAGAAATATCCTGCTTTTAGTTTGAAAAATTAAAAAATGTGAACCAGGCCAAAAGAACAATACCTAAGGTTGTCCTCTAGTCCCCCCGCCCCCAATCTTAGGAAAGAGTTATAACCCGCTGGGAAAAAAAAAATCTACATTTACATTTATGTAAGTAAATGGAGCAATGGCAATACTGAACTGGTAGTGTGCCCCTGGACTTCAGTCACTATGGACTAGTAACTACAATCTCCACCTTCGCTTTCCTTCCTCTTTGAAATGAGGGTGTCTGTATCAACGATCCCACGTCTAGACTACCACTGTATGTTGACTATGTAAGAGGCAGGTGATGAGGTTTTTTACTTCATTCAAAAACTGATGGATGGACTGGTACCCAGGATTTGTAACCAGAATACAGGACCAGAGGAGCCACATACATACTGGGACCTGATTCAGATGATGAGATCTGTCATTGGGCTGCTGGAATGAGACTTGAAGGTCTTGAGGGAAGAGATGAGTGAGTTTTGTAAACAGATGTCCAGATGTGACAAATCATGCTTCCCACACTTGTAGCATCACATAGCTCCCATTCATATAAATGTATTGGACTTCAGTTCTTAAATGCCTGCCACACAATCATGAGGATCCGGGTTTGATCTCCAATACCCAAGTAAAAGCTGGGCATGATGGCGTGAGTCTGTCATTCCAGTGCTGGGGATGGTGGAGACATGGATCCTTGAAGCTTATTGAACAATTAGTTTAGAAAACCAGTGAGCTCCAGTGGGGCCAGTGAGAGATCCTGTCTCAAAAAATAAGGTAGAAACTGGATGTGGTGGTTCAAACCTAGCATTGGGGAGCAGAGGCATTTAGATCTCTATTCAGCTGAGGGCAGTCTGATATACATAATAAGTTATAGGCTAGTCAGGGCTAAATAGTGATACCCTGTCTCAAATAAATAGGAAGGGAGGGAGGGAGGAACAGACGGAGGGAGGGAGCTATCAGACACTGATATTGACCTCAGCCTTACACACACACACACACACACACACACACACACACTCACACCAACACATACCAAAAAATTGTTGCATACTTTTGCTATATGACTTTGACCTTTCTTCCACTGAAACATGGGATCTATGCTCCACACCTTGCAATTGTGTTTTTGGTTTCTTTGTTTGTTTGTTTTTATTTTTTTAATGTCATATAAATTCATAGTTTATTAGTCAAGATTTTTTAAGACTTATTTATTATATATATTGTTATGTCTGCATATATGCCTACTCACCAGAAGAGGGCACTAGACCTCATTACAGATGGTTGTGAGTCACCATGTGGTTGCTAGGAATTGAACTCAGGACCTCTGAAAGAGCAGCCAAAAGCCAGTGCTCTTAACCTCTGAGACAACATCTCTGTCTTTATTTTTTAAATCAACAGGACATGACTCAAGTATAGGGTTTTAAAGCTAGGTTATAAAAAGGGATTTCATTTTTTCTATGCATTGGAACGTCCTGAAAGTTGCTTTAGATGGGAAGGGGAAGGGGGACTGGTTCACTACATACCAGGTTGTCTAGTTTTATTTGTTTTCTCCTTACTCTCCTCTACCTCCTCTTTTCCCCGAGAAAACGGACTTGTTTGGGGTGCTTTGACATCAGTAGTCCTTGGGTGGGATTCATGGGAGCAAAAACCAGAAATTTATAGGGGAAAATTATACCTCAAAAGCTGACTTTGAAGTCACTCCAAAGAGAACATAACATCTCTGGTGTGTCAACTTGTCCAGAAGAATCCAGTGATGTTCACCAAAGGGGTGTGATCAGAATATGCCTGTGTTCATACAGAGGGTGACTGAAGTCAAGGAGGGGAGGAGGATCTCTTCAGCCAGCATGGACATATACCTCACTAGAAATGCCTGTGACTGCAGAAGGGAGGATTGCAAAAGGTGAGGATTCGGGATACAGAAAACGCCACAGTCTCGGCTAATAGATGACGAGAGCCTTGGCAGTAAGATCAAAAGATAAGGGTGTGGGCCAGCTAAAATAGCAGCATCCGTAGTCTACAAAATATGTGCATAGGCAATGAGGAAGATGTGGACTGAGAGTCTGAGGGAGTGAGGCCAGAGAAAGTGAGGGAAAATGAAACCTTTGTCTTCACGTGAGCCAATTACACACACAGTTAGTCGTTCTCTTCTGTGTGTCACATTCTGTGCGAGATGCAGAGGAGGCTGACGAATAAGACAGAATCCCTGCCCACCCGGACACATAGTGTGACGGGGGAGACAGAAGCGTAAACAAAGGATGTTACTGTAAGATGTGTGTAACAAAGGAAGTGTGTGCGAGGTGGGTTCAGAGGTGACCACAAGGCATCCATGGGAGTCAGAGCTGGGTGTAGGAGAGGAGAGCCCAGCCAGTCAACGGCATCTCATTGATGCTGAGCATAGCAAACCTGAAGAGAACAGTGAGTCGTTGGGAGGAAGATGTATCCAAAACTGAGGCCATCCATCAGAGAAGACTTGGAACAGGAATTTGGGAACATGGATGGGTATGTCAATGAAGGACCTAGTTGTGAAGAGTAGAATACACACCAGCTAGAGGGCCAGCGGAAGGAGCAAGAGCTGTTGTCAAGTGCACTGGGAGAGGACTACTTGGCTGGTGGACACGCAAGGGATAGCTGATCAAAAATGGTGAGGTCAAGGTCACCAGGCTACAGAAAAGAGCCCCTGTCTTTTGTTTTTGTTTTGTTGTTGTTGAGAGAGGATGTCATTCGGTAGCCTAGGAGTGACTTTGAACTTTTGGCAATCCTCCTGCCTCCACCTCCCAAGTTCTAGAATTATAGGTGTGAGCCTGTAATTTACCAGGCTGGGAGGACCTGTCTCAAACAACAACGGCAAATAAACAAACGCTCGGATATGTGTATAATGCCATTCTGTTAGCTCCACGTCGGGGTAAAGGTGCAGGTTTCCTCGCGGGAGGCTAAAAGGGATGTTTGGCTGAGGGAGAGGAAAACTATACGCCATTGAAGATTAGAGTAACAGACTGCAATTGGAAGACAGAAAGCAAGAAAGGCCATCACACCGGTTTCAGTCCTCCAATATCAGCGAAAGAGAAGAAATAGACTCTTCTTGCCTTTGCTGAAGCGGTAAGAAAGAGCCCATCATCCCTCCACTACGGCATCAGAAGTAAAGGCTTCTTCCTTTGACTAGACAGGGTGGAGGAATTGTTATCCTGTTGCTAAGGAAAAAGGAAGGGGCTGTTCCCAGTTGCCATGGTGACAAGGTAAGAGCGTTCCCTCGGTACCGTCGTACGTTTTCCTGGCGGTTTCTTGTCCTCGTTGCTATGGCGATCTAGAGCGATTGTTCTTGTCTCCCGCACCTCCCGCCGCCGTTGCCAGGACGAGTTAGAGGTAGGGGTTGTCCGCCTCTCGCCGCCCAGTTGCCGTGGAAACGGCGGGTGCTCTGGCCCCGCCCCGCTCGGGCTGACAGCGGCGGCCGCATCGCGCCTGCGCACTGCTCTCTTACCCCCGCAGTCTCTGTGCGTTGAAGCCGGAGACCGCGGCGGCCTCTGCTAGGACCCTCCGCCCCGGAACCTCCGGCCGGAGCCGCAGCCTCTGTCGCAGCGTCCCCGCCGCCCGTCCCCTCCCCTGCCGCCTCCACCGGAGCCGCCTCGCGCACTGTGAGTCGGGGCCGAGGCCACGGTCGCCGTGGGGCTGAGTCAGCGGGAGGCCCGGGCCGGGCTGGGGGAGGGGAACCGGGCTCCCCATCTCCGCTGGCCCACACCCCCACTCCCACCCGTGTCCCATTCCACCGGTCTCCGGCCCTCGGTTGCCTCCGGGGCCAGACCTCCCCAGTCACTCCTCCTACCCTGCCCTCCTTCCTTTCTCGGTCCCTCCGAACCCACCTTGGGGTTCTTCCCCTCTGGATGTGGCGCTGTGGCTCCTTTGCCCGTGGCCTTGTATTTTCTCCCAAATTCCCTCCTGCCTGCCCTTGTCCCTTGTCCCTTCTCTTTACTTCGGGGCCTGACGTCTCCCGGCCTCTAGTTTCCCCAAGTGATATTCCAGAAAAAGAGTGACAAGTGAGACAGCCAGTGGATACTTGGGGGAGGGGGGAGCATTGTATCTATCCAAACCTTGGGACCCTAGAATCCAACTTACCTACCCTCTTCTGATCCACTCCTGACCCTCTCCTGACGGATTTGGTTTAGGAAAGCAGGTCTGGATAGTTCTAAGTAGCTGCAGAGAGCCGGCGCGGCTTTCAGAATAGCTTTTGGCTAAGAGGGGTCAGGCTACCATGTGATCAGCTACTGTTGGGTCCACAGGGCTCGTGCATGGTGGCCTTCTAGTGTGCTGAGCCACTGCCCTGGCCACGGGGGGCATGGTTGGTTTGGGAGTTTAAGCTCATGTGCTTCCGGTGCGTTTTTAGAGTCACATTACATTCTTGGTATATGTGAAGTTTGAAGACCCACCTGTAATATCTGTAGAAAGTGCTTGCTGTATGAGGGGTTTTGGCAGGACTTGAGTTCCGATATGTGTAAAATTGGTGAAGTAACCAAGCAGCAATAGTGGGTTTTGACGGCGGCGTGAGCAGAGCTGGGAGGAGGGGCGGTCGTGAGTCCTCATGGGTTGCTGGGAAACCTGTATTCCTGCCTCCTGCAGCTCTGAGTCTCGGTGGGGGCCCTTGCCTCGTAGGATTCCCAGGGTTGCCTTTGCCACCCACCCACTTGCCCATCTTGCCATACCTAGTGTTGAAATAGAGTCCCAAGCTATTTTCTTTTTTTCCAGCAAGAAACTCAGCTGAAGTTTGTTTTTTTGCACTGGTAGCCAGAAAGTTCCTCATAGACATGCCTCAACTCGAGGGCTCCTAACTACTGTGTGTACCTCATTGCCAGCCTCTTTTGATTCCCTCCCAGATTTCAGTGTAGTGTTAGAAAAGGTGTGTAACTGTAAGGTAGTTCTAATGAATAAGAGGCTTTCTTTTTCTTTTTCTTTTTCCTTTTCCTTTTCCCTTTTCTTTTCTTTTCTTTTCTTTCTTTCTTTCTTTCTTTCTTTCTTTCTTTCTTTCTTTCTTTCTTTCTTTTTTTTAACTCCAGGCTACAAAGGGCATGGTCTACTCCTAAAACTCAGGGTGAAAGATCCACTTGTCAGGTGTTTCTGGAGTTGCAAACAAGGGTTTTGCTCCCAGGCCTGCTCACTCGTGGCCTATTGGCAGCCTCCTCAGGGCCACTCCCTGCCCCCATGCCCATCAGATTCGTTTGCAGGAGCAAACACGGCTGTTGCTCTACTTTTAAGCACAGAGATGGAGTTGAGGAAAATGACAGCCCCCATCCAACAGTGGAGTGTGTTCTGTCTCGGATGCCAGTCTGGGGTTTGGCGGGACGCACCTGCCTGCGGTGCAGTGGGAACTCTGGGGCCTGAGAGTTACATTCCTTCCTGTGGTCCCTCTCTGCGTCGCATAGCTTGCCCGAATACCCGAGGAGGGCAGGCGGAGACAGCTGTGCTGGAGAGCTGCTCTTCCTGGACTGAGTGTATTTTGGGAATCAGTGTTATTGCTGGGGTGGATGGGGGTGAATTAAGCAAGAAAATGTGTCAAGGATAGAGAGATCAGGGGAGTGTGAAGTGCAGTGTTCCCTTTGCAGTCTGCTATGGGATAGTACCTTTTCAGAACTCCAGAGTGGCTTTTATATGGGCTAATTTGCCTTTGAAATCCGTAGCAGTGTTTTATGAGATAATGACTGGACGCTTTATAAACTGATCCTCTTAAGAAACATGACTGAGACCTTTTTCATACACCTCTCCAACTGCTATTGAAGGTAATTGTTAAGATCAGGGAGCGGGGCATGATTTGGACCAAGTCAGACCTAAAGCTGTGTGACAGATGTTAAATGGTTTTATAGGAGTGCATTTCCTTGATCTTGAGACAAGCTTGTAATTTACCAACAGCTTTTAGGTAAAGTGTGTGTGTGTGTGTGTGTGTGTAGATTCTGAGCTACATCCTAGTTTCAGAAACAGGAGTTATCAAGCCTTGAAGGAGATATGTGTGTCTTCGAGTTAGAATGGTGTTTCGTTTTTTGTGAAGATGCCAGGACTGCTCCACCTGAGTGCGTTCATTGTCAAGATGGGTGTCTCCAAGCCTGTGCTCTTTGTGGGCTTAGATGATTAACCTGACTTGGGTATGCTATAGCATTTTGTTTTGTTTTGTTTTTGTTTTTTGAGACAAGGTTTCTCTGTGTCTCTTTGACTGTTCCAGAACTCACTCAGTGGACCAGGCTGGCCTCAAACTCACCAAGATCCACCTGCCTCTGCCTCCCGAATGCTTGCTAGTAGATATTAAACAAAATGAAGTTCCCAGTTGGGAGTCCAGGGCAATAATATAGTACTCTCCAGACATTTAGCAAACAACTGGAAGCAAACATCTTATGAACTGACCCTGAATATAATAAACAAGTAGCGTTTTCCAGAAGCTGAGTAGAAAATATAAGTGTTTTTCATATATTCATTTTACAAGAGGCATGTGCTTCAGTTCATTTGTAGGCATGTTTGTGAGGGTGCCAGACATGTGTTCCTCTCCCTGTAGTGTGTTAGAACTGACAGGACGAAGATGTCATAATGTTCTTATCTCCATGTTTTGACATGAGACATAAGAAGTGATTTGCCCCAAGGTGACTCAACTAATGTAGAAAGTATGTGAAAACTGTCACCTCTGTACAGTGTGCAAGTGGCTGTTGGCGGCTCTCTGTGTCTGAGTCAGGATCGTTTCCAGACTAGGGCTATGATGCACCACCACACTGCTGCATCTGTCACATTTAATAGTACAAAGGGCTTTAATAAAAATAATTTAGTAGTCTCTAATTAACCCTGTAGACAAAGGCTTCTTTTATTGTCTGAGATGTTGCAAGGCCAGGCAAAATTTAATGTCCAAGTGTCTAATTAAATATTTATTCTGGCCACCTTAAAAATAATAATTTTTTCCTCACGTGTTCCAACTTCGGGAGGCCTGCGTTTTTACAATATGCATCACCTAACAGAAGGCAAATGTGAAGTTGGGTGTTGAAGTCCTCTCAGCTCATCCATGAGCAAGGAGGAGAGAGCAGAAATGGGGCTGGGGCTGAGAGTGGGAGCAAGTGTGAGAGGCAGCTTCAGGGCCACCTTCCAGCTCTCCAGTGCAGCGTTTCACAGGTCCGGGGGCCACGTGGTGTTCTCATCCCCAGCCTTTGGAAACTGAGTTGATCTGGCCTCTCAAAACAGATATATATATCTGAGCACATATCCCAGTCCTTCTACTTCTAGCTGTGTGACATTGGGCAGGTTATGTAACTGCTGAGTGTCAGTTTTCTCGTCTGTAAACCTGGACGGTGACTGTCCCCACAGTCCTCTGTAAACCTGGACGGTGGCTGTCCCCACAGTCCTCTGTAAACCTGGACGGTGGCTGTCCCCACAGTCCTCTGTAAACCTGGACGGTGGCTGTCCCCAGGGCTGTTAGAGGATGCTAGTAAGCAAAGCCTGTAGAGTAGCTGCTTGGTGGCATATTTACATTTCCTGGTGCTTTAAGTTTAAAAATAATGTCTCCAAGTTTGTCAAGACAAATCCATCCTGAGCTAATTCTAAAGCCCCCATTCCTCAGGAGCCTTCCTAATATGTTCAGCGGGAACAAAGATTTGTCCCATGAAAAACTGAGACTTGCAGTGTTATTTCAACTGCCAAATGAGAGAGCATATATATGAAATGGTCCTTTGTCTCCATGCACTCAGCTGACTTGGTTGTCTGACAAAATGACCAGGCATGAGCAGTTGGACTGGAGCGGAGCACAGGCTGGGTGACTTGGTGTGGCGTGGGGTTATTCAGTCCCTCTGCTGGGAAGGTTAGTCAGAAGAACTATCTTTTTTTAAAGATTTATTTATTTTTATGTGCAATGGTGTATGTATGTGTGAAGGTATCAGGTTCCCTGGAACTGGAGTTACAGACAGTTGTGAGCTGCCTTGTGGGTGCTGGGAATTGAACCTGGTCCTCTGGAAGAGCAGCCAGTGCTCTTAACCCCTGAGCCATTTCTCCAGCACCCCCCACCCCAGGGATGACTTTAATTTGAAATAGAAAAGCTGCTGAGTGCTGGCTTATTAGTAAGCCTCACATAGTCGTCTATGTCGTTTGCTTCCTCTACTGTCAGGGGTGCACCTTGAACCCTGACTTTGCTCAGATCAGTTTCTGTACTTGTGAGCTACAAAGGTCGTGGGAAAGGAGCCCCTCCTCCGCAGAGGTCACCCTCCTCCTTGGAGGTCACCCTCCTCCCTAAGTGAGGAGAAGAAATGGGGGGCCTTCTGAATGGAGCAATTACAGAATAGTTACCAGGGAAAGTTAGTCAGGTGGCCAGACCCAGGTGGATCTAAATCCCTAGATCAAGTTTGTGTCCATCTGCGGGCCTCTAAAGATGAGCTCTGTGGTCGGTAGAGAGGCCCCTAGCACGTGCAGCTTCCGGTTTGATTCCCAGCTCTGCGAATAAGCTTGGACAGTACCTACCCGTGAGAAGTGGGATTTGGGAGTGGAGATGGGGAAAGGAGACTCAAAGGGAAACTTTTGTTTCCTGTGCTTCAGCCTTTGACCTGTTGGAAGACACACTGCTTTGTGCATGTAGCTCAGTAAACACATTTTAATATAAAACCCCAGTGAACATTCAGTGATGGAGCAGATAGCACTACATTGCTTCCTTCCGCAGACCAAGCCAGTGTCTAAACCAGGCTCTTGAGGAAGGAAGGGCCCTCTGAAGTGGCTGCTTCCCTGACGGCCAAGACTACTTAAGGAAACACCTACCTGGTCAGTTCTTTGTCCTTTCACGCCCCTTTTTGAGGATAGTGCCCTCTTCTTGATTATCTGAAGCAAGCAGTACTTCCTAATAAGCTAATTTAATTTCAACTGTTGATAAAAGTGGCATCTGCCCATGTGACCTTTACAACAATTCTGTGAGGTAGAAATGGTGCTGCCCATGGAATCCCAGCACTTGGGATAACCTGGGCTACATAGTGAATCTGAGTCAAATAATGATAAGATATTAAATCTTGTGCTACTCATCTCAAAAGAACTTGAAGCTTAAGGATCCTACCACAGAGTGGGTACACTCTGTATTGGTAGCTGCAATCTACATCAGGCCTGGCTGGTCCTTTAACACAATATTGACAGATTCTGTTAGAAATGACAATAGGGACTGGAGAGATGACTCAGCAGTTAAGAGCACTTGCTGTTCCTGTACAGGACCTGGGCTCAGTTCCCAGCACTAACATGTTGGCTCACGACCATCTGTAGGCACTCATATGGGACACATACATGCAGGCAAAACACTCAAGCACATAAGATAAGTAAACCTAAAAAGA